TTTCACAGCCATGTCTTTCAGAAGTCGGAGCAACCTGCGTTCACGCTTTCCAAAGCCTCCTATCCTATTGTTGAATTGCAGCTGGCTCTGCTCTTGCACTTAGCATTTTGTCTGTGGTCCCCTATCAACCTATCGCAGGTTGAAATCTTATTGAGTAGAGTGACAAATTGAGTAGTCCTTCCAAGTGGACGAACTTTAGGTCCATTCTCGTTTTCGTAGCTGAACAATGCTGAACGCAGGTTTAACAGGTGAAGCACCTAGTTGTCTGAATAATGTAATTAGAACGTGAAACTGATTGTGTTCTTACAGTGTGATGAATTCTTTCTCATTTTACAGTAAACATCTTGTAATGTCCTAGACCAAAGGTGACCTGCGAAGACCAAACTCCCTAGGCCCTAGCATGTTCTCCTGTTGACTCCGCCAAATCATTTCTGCAACACCTTCACACTGTATTGATTGTCGCGTGTTACACAAAACCCCACAACATCTTGGAAAGCAACCGCCTAATGACATTGTGCGTGCGTGTGTTACCCGTTAAATACCCCTGCGCCCGGCCAGTCTCTGGACACCTCAGTGATTGAATCGTTGAAATGGGCACATCCAAGAGCACCAGGTTCCTGAGAAACAATCGTTGAACCCTTGAGGCTCAAGCCAACGGAACACCAGCTGAGAACAGGTATGAAACAATCTATGGGAACAGTGTGTGAACATCACACAACCAGCATCTTAAAGTCTTGTCTCTCACCGAAGAATCCCGAACTCCTAGCCGTGGGGCAACAGGTGTACACTGACGAAACTCACACTCTCAAATCAAATGCGTTTGTGCTCCTTTAACCTAACTCTTGTATCCAAATTTAAACTTGCAATGGTTCTGTAAAAGAGTACTAAAAGACTTTTCAGGAATTTTCAGGATGTGAAATTAACCAAAACATGCACCGGATTCACTGTCAATGAAATGAGAGAGTCTTAGTCTTATTGGGATTTATCATACTTATCGTCCGTTCTTCCTCATCTGTGGCATAATGTGTGGTTTTACGCGGCGGCACAAACTCTTGTCATTCCTTCAATGCCCCAGTGTGCCTCATGCAAGGGATAGACCACACCGCACACTTGAAAACGCATAATAAAATATCCCGGCAACCCCACACTGCACAAACTTCTGATCAAGGTTGGAAGTGTTCCCTTCCAAGCATCAGAAGGCCTTCGACGAACTCCTCTTGGCTGAGCTGCCCACCTTGTGTGAAATAGACGCTGACGCAGCCCACGCAGCAGCTGACTTTCACGATTCTTGAGCGAACTTCAGTGCAAGCGTAGTGAGCGCACGCAAAGGACAGGTGGGCACAATATGAATTCTCGATCTGCAACTGGGCCTGTGTAATTGCTATCACCGGGAGAACCTCCACTTATGGACACACTGTTGACAAAAGAAAATGCAAACATGAACAAACAAGGAAACAACAGCAAACTGAGCTAAGCAAACAACATGATCTCATACTAAGCTCAGGGCTGCCGTCGACATCCAAGAGCTCGAAAAGCTCAGACATGCTGCCCTGCACAGTTTCCGTCAGGCCAAGAGCTCCCTACCGCAAGTAAAATTGCCTACCGACATGGAACAGGTCGGCCATATCCTTGCTGCAATTTTTGGTATACTATAAATGAAATCGCAGCATTGGCCGGACCTGGCATATTTCGGACTTGAGATTGCAGCATTAGCACACAACAATGTTCGCTACTAGGGGCTCCTGGCCTTACTACTAGGAGCAAGGATGCTACTAGGGGCTCCTGGCATCGCTACTAGGAACAAGAAGCTACTAGCAGCATTAGCATGCTTGCACGATCCGTGAGCGAGTTGGAGGTCTTGCACAAACCCTTGAAAGAGGCACTGGCATCTCACCAGAGTCGCAGGCACACGCAACCCCCACCCCCTGCTCAGAACAACTCCCATGCATTTCAAACATCCTGCACAAGCTAGTCTGAAGCTTGCAATTGCCATACATTCCTGCAGAAATGGCTGAATGAAATCAAAGGTTGCTCACAAAGAAATCTACAGCTCTCCAAAGCACCCTGCAATCTCGAAATGTGATCATTCTTGTTTCGGTTGGTAATTACTGATGTTACCGAACCACCCAAGCATAGGGATGTTTCTGATTGCTTCTCCGCCCTCTTCTCTTCCAAAGCACATTGCAAAGCCAACTAGCTCCACAATTAGTATTGATGATTGCCCTTCCCTCAAAACCATCGAGTAGGAAAAAATGCAGCGACGGAGTCCGGGACAACATATCCAACATATCAAAGCTCCAACGGTCAAGGCACAATTGAAACCGAGTCCAGCATTTTGGCAGGAAGGATGTCGAGCGGGACATTCTCAACCTCCTCGAGAAGCACACCGAGGAAATACTGCAATCGTCGATTGATCGATGGGCTGCATTCACAAATCATGAAGAGACCATGTTGAGCAATCATGAATTAACTACAATAAGTCAATAAGAGTCGATTCTTATGATTCTTTCACATGCCAATGGGCACACTCTACAGGAAAGCTATGGAAATCTGCTAAGCTGCTTGGTAGAAGAAAGCCGCAGAATGCTCTTGGATCCTCTTGGATCTACAGCTCTCCTCTGATGTGAGACATCCAGACTGGTCCGCATCGAGCATCTGAAACGTCTCGAGCAGCGCTGGCAAGGCTTCTTTGATTCCTCGACCCCAAACCACCGGGACACCGTGACGCCCAACAATACAAAAGCAATAATGTTGGATCTTGATTAGTAGAGGCCCTCTATAGTTATAATAAACTACCACCAAAACAAATCTGGGTTCCTGGGAGGATTCCTTTTGTAATTGACTGTAGTATTAATCTTCCTTTCTCAGGGCAGATTTTCAGGTCTACTACCTCGAAAATTTGCTTAGCAATCTTTAGATAAAAGAGTCATTGAGGAATTGATGGCTTTGGGAAGCTGTGAGTTTTGAAGAACTAAAGAAAACTATTATGATGAATACCAATACGACTCTCACCAAGCCAGCCATTGGCTTAGTAGCATTAACATGTCATTTATTTATGTATGTGTTTCTTCCGAGGAAACAACTTTGCACAATTGAGAACCCTTGAAACAAATTCAGCAAGCCAGCCATTGACTGAGTAGTATTCACAGGTCTCCGAAGGATTGAACACCCTAATTAGTTTTAAAACAATAAAAAAAGATCCCCCAAAAAATAGCCAAGAATTATGTTTGAAAAGAAGTTACCATTATAGAGGGCGCTATTACTAATCAGCATCCAACAATACATACCAGCAATTAATACTGCCTCCCAAATCGATACACATCCGAATGCAAGTAGACATTAAAGCACATAAACTTCTTTTGGGCACCGAGGGCATACCAGAGTTGTCACTCTTAAGAGCGATGTTTTTCTCAGGAATCTGATTAATGGGTCATGGGTGAGGATTCTGAAGAGGCAGAGCAGAGTTGAAGGATCAAAATCCAACATATCCCATCAAACCAATGATTGAAGGAGTTGAAAGAAGAGCGACCCAAGTGATTTCTCTCTGATGAGGCCTATGAGGTGGCTTTCGAAAGAGGTGGATTTTTCCGGCCACCTCAGGTCCGCCGAAGGCGAGTGCGCTTAAGCGTCTCCGTTCTCGGGCTGTATGGATTTTCTATGCTTGGCTCATGCTTGGCTCAGTCTTTGGGCGTTCATCCCTTGCACATCTGTTGGTTTATTGGGGTGGACTCTGCCTGGTACCTCTTGTGAAGTGCAGTAATTAGTGACGTAGCGTAGTCTCTATAGGGTATTAAGCTCTGAAATGTTTACGTTTAGATTATATAGACACTTGTAGACTTGTAGCGAGATGTGTGCAACTGATGGATGCCAGTACGCTCAAACGGTACGAACAGTAATTCGACAAAATAAGTATCTTAATTGATACTTGTTGATACTTCCAAGTCTCTTTTGATGCTATTGTGCCCCATCCACAAGCAATGTAGGCACATTCAATGGTCCAACGATGGGTGGAGCGAAACCCCAGTGCCTTCGAAATCAAGTTCGATTGCGGAACCAACTCATTCATCCGCTGAGGCTCTCGACTTCAGTTGGAGGCGCTCGCTCTCGGCTTCATGTGCAGCATGCTGTAGCGAATTCTCGACCAGCACAGCCGTTATGAGGTTCCTGCGAGAAGGCCCCAATTGTTGACCAAATCTCCAAACAAAACCATGGAAAGGACGCAAGTTGTCCTTCTATGCATGAGCAAAAGTTCTTTAAACAACTATGCTTTTGCGATGCCATCAATATTTAACAAGCCGGTGCCATATCAGAAGACCAGTAACTAGTCGCCAATTTTGCAGAGTTACCTTTGCCCAGAAAATTTCCGGCTAAGCACTATGAAAGAAATGCAAAGTAGAAACTGACAGTGCACACACACAATCCATCACTAGCTCTCTGATCTGTGTCTCAGTGTTGTGTTTGCCAAAAATAACAGCTGTCCCAACCAAGACACATCAGGCCAATGGACACAATGAAGAGAATCGGGCCAAAGAAAAGAATCAGCTCGTGCTTCTGCCTCGGATGAATTCAACGCCTTTTCCGGGAAGCGACCAGCTGTTCACATGTTGAAAGCATCTTCATGGCTCCTAATTCAAGCTAGTTCCAAATGCCAAGGCGTCAACATATTTCAATTGTGAATTTGGCTCTATGTAACACAGTACCTATGAAGGCATGAACATGATTGAGTCCGACACATGCTCATCTCAATCTGATCAAAACCATTCAATCTGACTGGAATAGAACGGTGCTCAGCAGGTCTGACGAAGACACTGTACAAGAAATGCATCTAGACATCGACTAAGACATCCTTACACATCGACTAAGTTCAGTGGAGCATGGCAGCAAATCGTGCCTTCCTGTACAGAAATAGTGAATGCTAGAGACATCTTCTATACATGAATTCTGTCTCCATTTCCAACTGTCTCTTGAGCTGCTAAATGCGGTGTATTGCGGTGTAATCTTTATGCGAATTCGGCAACGCTCAGCTCCACAGGGAAACGCTTGGCACTTCTCGTTCTTCGTTTAGGCCTGTCTGCAGGATCTTGAGTGTCTTCTTCCTTGCCGGGACTGTTGCTGAACTTAATGCACCAAATTGAATCATCATACAAGCTGCAAGGCCAATATCCGAAGCTTAAAGACACTAACAAAGTGTGAAACCAGATTCCGCAATGCCGCATTTGTTTGTCCATATTAAATATCACCCGTATCCTTTGCGCTCCGCGGTCCGAGTCTTCTTTTCGATCCATTTCCGAGTCCTCGAGGTCCAAGAAGGTATTTCGTACCACCAACTTGGGCATGCCCAGCGATTCATCTTCTTCGATGCGTTTGGGTTCCTCAAATGTGAAGACTCCAAGTGCTTGGGCAAGCGGCAAGGCGTTTTTCATTTGTCCATTTCCAGGCAGCAGTTCATATGTTCCTATAACCATTAAACTCTTGTCACCACGTGCAACTGGCAAGCATTTCTGGACATTGCTCACTTACATTCAATTTCACTATAGTATAGTTTTTTTCAAATTCTGTAGCCAACACCCAACATCATTGCCAATGGACTTGACGTTGTATCGATTTGCATATGAAAAACAATGATATTCCCACAAATGCCGGGTCCCTCCTGCAGATTGAACTTTGTTTCAACCTCCTCATGGACACTTGGCGCATACGTGCCCCCATTTGCCCTGCGATACGCAGCTTTCGCCAAGGGGTAGATGTCAAAGAAACGCATTCCTCAAATGACAACAAAATTGCTGTCGTACTTTGTTAGAATGACACCTTGAGAGAGTCGTCAGTTGGACACCAAACCAGGCATGGTTCACTGTGGAATTGAATATCTCAGAATCAAGGCTTCACTCGGATGTCAAAACCAGATGAGACAAGGATCTCACGCGTTCCCAGTCGCTCCGTCGAACAATGCACTGATAAGGGACAACTTCTAATCCATCCAAAGTATCAAAAGTCTCAATGTCCTCACAGCGCTCTCAGAGCGTGTTGAAGCATTGGTTAGTCATTTGCAAGGTGAACTCCAATACCCACGCATCTCAGGAACAAATCCGAAGTGAGGTGTTTGCACATTGTTAGCGCTGCCTGCCTGCCTGCTTGCCTCCCTTGTCTGCCTGCCTGCCTGCCTGCCTGCATGCTTGCTTGCTTGCTTGCTTGCATGCTTGCTGCCTTCTTGTATGTATGTATGTCTGTCTGTCTGTCTGCCTGCCTGCCTGCCCGCCTGCCTGCCTGCCTGCCTGTCTGTCTGTCTGTCTGTATTTTTTCTAGGGAGGGACTTTTGCATCTGCTTCACGAAGGGTGGTTTCACCCTTGCTGCCAGCCGCTGCCGCTCTGCGTCTAGAAGTAGTCAACGGTAAGCCGCATCATCGTCGACTGGCATGGCCTGAGCAGCGGCCTGTGGCTCTTCATGTGCTGCATCTTCAGCAGGGAACAAGGCTCGTGGCCTGAGAGCGCTTGGCTCTGCCGTGGGGAGCTGGGGCGGATGCTGGCTGCTGCGCGCATCTCTTTCCGGAGTAGCCGGACTGGTTGAGAGCTGGGTGGGAAAGTAGGTCCGCAACCCCGGGCTCTTCTTGACAGGTGCTCCTTTGCAGGCTTTGCGGAGGGCATCTGTGACAATCAGCCTGTTGTTCTTGTCGGTCAAGACTGCTAGGCCGCAGTGCTTGCAGGTGACTTTGGTGCCCAGCTGCCACAACTGATTTCACATCTTCAGCCTTGTGGAGGAAGACCTTGCTGACACCAGAGGAATTGATGGCTGCTTTCAACCACAAAATCTTTACTGTCAGTGGGGTGAACCCAATGGCCCCACGCTTGGACACACTCCACACCCTGGATTTGGGTGTGAGCTGCCACATTGTTGGTAATCTGCTGTGGGAACTCATGCTGGAGATGCCATACAACAGAGACATCTCCATGAGGAAGCTAATTGCAAAAATACAGAAACTTTATGAGAGCGAAGGCATCCCAGCCATGGACAGGCTGAGGACAATTTCACATTCTGACCTGAGAAAGAATGCACAGGAATACCCAACTTTGAAGCACCAAAAAGGAGCAAGGGTGAGGAAGTTCATTCCTGTTGGAAAAGAGAGATGACTCTCATCATGCAAAGCATCGGCATGAGCTTTTGCTGGCATTGAAAGAGATGTGTGACCTTTTGGGCAAAGAGGGCTACAAGTGGCAAACGCAAGAGCATGCCCAGTTTCAAGCTGCATGTGAAAAGTGCATGAAGCATTGCCAATATTTAGCCAAAGAGGCAGTCTCCAACAAAGAATATCTGTGGAGTGTTGTGCAAAAACACCACATGTGCCAGCACCTATGCGAGCAAAGCAAATACATTGCTCCTAGACACTTCCACACCTATGGAAGTGAAGGTTTCATGAAAACCACGAAAAAACTGGCAGGTACCTGTCTGCATGGGACTCCAGCACACAAGCTGCCCAATGCAATTTTGATTAAGTACAGGTTCTTCTGGCACTTGATGCTTGCTGGTCTCATAGAAGAAGATTGAAAAAGTGACTGTGGACTTGAGCAAGATAAAGGGAAGATAGGACATGGGTTGGAGAGCCCATTTAGGGTTTATAAACTTGAAGAAATAGGACATGGGTTGGATAGTATATATAGGTACATGAAATGCTCCTCAAAGATTGGTTCCCCAAGTAAAATTCTATTGATTTCTCGATTGATTTTCATGGCTCCATTCTATTGATTTTGTGTCTTTTTCGATTGGTTTATCAAAAGCAATTTCTATTGAAACTTTGAAAAAACAAAATTCGATTGAAAAATCAATATCGATTGATTTTTCTTTCTGGGATGCTCTGGGTTGATTCGATCTGTCAGTGTTTGGCTCGGTGTACGAAGCGGGGTCAGCATAGTGTCAAGGACCTTATATGCCAATCTAGACCTACTTCGAACACACCGGGGGTTGGAGGAACGAGCGAATGCACGTCGGCGAGCTGTTGCCCGAAAATTCTGGGCAATCGGTTAGGCTGGTAGCTAGTGATAGGTTTTATGCTTCTAGGGGTAGTAGGAGGCGGACTACCCGAGGGAGGTCAATGTGGCGCTAGCCTTCCGGATTGGGGTTGTTCGCCAGAAGCACTGGCGCTTGAAGCTGCCTTTGAAGCCCACCACGCGTTGTCAAGCTCTTGGGGAGCCTGTGCCGCTTGTTGTCCTCCCGTAAGGGAACGCGTGGGGCGACGGCGGCGGGGCCTTCTTCTTAGGAGTGACCGGTTTCGGGGCCGCTTCAGAGTGCTGCGAACGATCGCGCTCCCACAAGGCAGAGCGGCCCGTTAACGAACTTGGCGGTGTCTTGTAAGGAGGCTCCGCTGTTTTGGGTCGACTTGGAGGCCGGTCAGGTGACCTGGGCATCGGAGGACTCTTGGGTGGCTTTGGACTCGGTGGTCGGTCACCCCCGTCGTCGCCCCCGTCCCCGGAGGGTTCGGGTCCGACGGTGCTGCAGCCACCGAGGGAGAATTGCGCTGCCAGCCGACGCATTTTGCGGTGGGCGACAATTCTCCCCGAGCTTTGGCAGTTTCTATATAGCATTGATTCAACTCTGCTTCAAGGAACACCCCAACCAAAGTACCGCCTACCCAGGGGTTACTGGTCGTCAGACCACCCCTTAAAATTTGTGCTCTTCGACACGTTCGTTCCGCTGAGACTAAGGTCGCGCCTCCTCGAACAGTTTTCAACTCCGAGCCAAAGGCGTCGACAGCAGCTCCGCCTCGCACCGATCGATCTCGATCGGCTGCACCTTATAAGGTCATTGCGCCGCGGCCGGGTCCGCCTGGCGTCCTACTTTGGACCGCGGTCAACCTGCAGTCGTCCTAACCCCTCGATCCGAGGTTGAAAGGCCACAAAGGCGAAGTCTGCCAAACCTAAGTCGGTCCTAAGAGCACCAGCCGCAGCCTCTGGCGCGGGCACTTCGACACCCATCCCTAAGCCTGAAGTCGGGAGGTGTGCCCGTTGAGGTGCCAAAGCCGTCTTTGCCACTTCGCTTGCCACCACCGCCCCCGGGCCGGCGCCCCCGCCGCCTCAGGAAGAGTTCGAAGACTTCTTACCGTGCTCTGTACCAGCCGAGCCGCCTCCTTCGGTCCCATACGGGCAATATGGATGTTCCTGGACCCAACGAGTACAGTTATAGAGGGGCTTGTGGTGGAGGTAGTACCTCATAGGACCAAGAGCAATCCGGAACAAATCCCAATTCTTCGCCCCACACATCTCGTCCCCCATGCACCACCAGACAGTGCGCAGCTTGACATGTCCGTCATGCACAGCCAAGATCAGGCACTCGAACCACAGAGCACTGATCTCGCACTTGCCAAAGCCCGTGCAAGCAGCGCATTGGGTGGCGCCGCCCTCAACGGACTTCTTGAACATATCCTTCGGGGTGAACAAGAGCAGTATTCCGAAGAGGAGGAGGAAGTTGAAGTGGAGGAAGAAGAAAAGGGACCCGAGCAAAAGGCAGCCCCGCATGGGGCGCCTGCTCTACCTGAAGAACAACCCGAACTCGAAAGTACCGCGTCTGTTGACGCGGCAAGTAGTGAGGGGCCTTTGGAATCAGAAGCCGCAGCCTCCGGCGCGGAGCCCTCGCGACCACCGGTTAATTTAACGCCAGGTCCCGGAGCCTTCATCCACTGGCACCTTACATCCCCTGAGCATCGGATATTGATTTAAATCAATACTCTACAGAATCTATTGATTGATTTTAAATCAAAGAGTTTTGATTGATTTGGAGCCATAGGAAATCAAAATCCAAAAACACTCCAAATCAATACCATTTTGTATGTTTTAGACTGCAAAAATCAAAACTGAAAAGGCGAGCAAACCATGCTTTTTCACTTCCAGATTGGACTGCTCCTGCCCATCTTTGGGGCTTGCGCAGCTACTTCAACCTATTGTCTAGGGCTGACAAATTTGGTGAAGAATTCTTTTGTCAAGAATCTCCTCAAGCATGTGCCTGATCCTTTTGTCCAGGATCCTCAAGCATGTGGCTGAAGATATAGGTCCTTTTGTCAAGGATCATCCTCCTCAAGCATGTGGCTGAAGCCAGGCTTTGTCATTTGGAGGTGGAAACGTATTCTGTACTTTTCCATGAGCTTGATGGGGAGCCTGCTGGCCTTCACTCCAAAGGAGACTGAATGACAAAGGTTGGAGATTCTCCACACATAGTCTTCACCCCTGAAACTGGAGTGAAATCGATAGTTCATGTACTGGGTGCCCATGAACATGTGTAGGCAGGCATGAAATTAAAAGTTAAAAGTCACGTGGAAAAGCTTCCTGTCTTGGGACTCAGCCCAATGGTGCAGATCTGCATACAAAGAGAAGAACCTTTTGACAAGCTTCATGCCAACATTGTACTCTTCTTTTGTCAAGAAGGCACCAATTTGGTCAAAATGCAGAACGGCTTCATTGAAAGCACCAATGCACCCCAACATGGTCTTGTGAATCTCAGTTTGTGCATGCAAAGTTTCCTGGAGCACAGCTTCAAGACAGGGCATGAAGTACTTTGTTTCAGCAGCCCTAGCCTCCAGGCATGGAAATCTCTTGTGTGGACTTGAGATGTCCCAGACCATGCTTGGCCTCAAGTTGGTGAGTCTTGAAGTGATCTGGAAGGCTTGATAGATCTCTCTGATCCTGCCAAAGAGCCTGGACAGCCTGGTGGAAGGAGAAACTCTTTGTCTCCTGGGCCAATCATACCAACAAAGGTATGAAAGCAGGCTGCCTGCTAAGCGGTTTGCGACACCCATGGAATACAAAATGTGTAAGCTGTCGTTCCTCACTAAAGAGGTGGATACACCTGGAATTGCAAAGAGCGGGTGGCTGCTCCTTTTCAGAAGGGCTCACATAGATGAATTGTTGCAGATCTTCCGTCAAGAGCTTGAATGATTTTCCTTCTGGGCAAGCCACATGCCTATAGACAGGTTGCTGGCAGTCACATTCATGGCAAGGATGCTGGTGCCTCCAATGTGGA